CCCTGGAGGGGCCTTAGGACCCCCTGGGTACTGCACTCACCTGTATTTATCATGAGGTTGTAGGGGTTGTCTAAAGGGAAGTAGAAGCTATTAGGGGGTTGCAAGCAAGTATTTAACCAAATCTGTGTTCTCAAGGTCAAGAAGGCCCTTGTTGAGAATGTGCAGGTGCAGTAACACAGAAGAAATTTTTGAACACTCTTGCAGGTCAAGGAGGGAGCCAAAAGCAGATTGAAGGAGGAGTTTTGCTGTCTAATTATCTCTCATCTCTCTGTACTGACCCTCACACACCCTTTATACAGGTCCCTGAGTCTAGGCGATCTGGGCCTTACAGGGTGGTGAGGAATGCACTTGTGCCCAGCCAAGCAGACAGGTGTGGCTTTCATCCATTGTTCCAGAGGGGTTTGTAGATGACAGAGGCCAAAGAAAGTGCTTGTGTGAGAGAGAGTGAGCACACAGGAAGGCCATGGAGGACTCAATTCCCTGACTCCCTGGGAGAAGTTTCACAATGAAGGGAAGCTAGGTATCTGGTACCAAGGTCATCAGTCAGCCAGTACTACATAGGTTCAGTGTGTCATGGCAGAGACCCAACTTGGCTTGACTGCAGCCATCTTGAGATACAACCATCAAGTGTGTCCATGGGAAATCCCACCCTACTTTCCCGGTAGGGTCTCCTTGCCATTTCAGTGGCACATGGGACTTTACCACAGGACCCTTGTGCTGTCTGTGTTAGAAATGGGCATGACGTCCTCAGTGTTAGTGAGACAATAACAGCCACTTTCTGGCTCTGATGAATGTCACCATTATCCTGTTCACCCCAAAGGCCTCCCTCTAATCCCTGGCTGGCCACCAGACTTCCTGATTCCCTGACCACACATCGTCCATAGCTCTCCAAAAAAGACTATATACAGTAAGTTGCATTCCAACACATCCTGTTTCTTTTTCCCATGCCACCTTCTCTTGTATGATTGTTCTTGCATCTATTTTTCCTGAGCAGTAAATGCCATTTATTCTACCCAAGTCTATAGAGCATCAGAGAGTCAGAGATGGGTGCCAGCTGAGACCTCATCTTGGCCAGCATCCCATTCCCAGTTCAGGAAGAACCCAAGACTCATGGGCTGTGCCTCTTCCTTTCTTTCAATTTCAGATCATCTCAAAATCTTTTTAAAAAAAGATATTTAATTATTTTTATTAACTCAGAATTTGTGTGTGTGTTGTAGGGAGTGGGGTGAGTACCATGGCCATATTAGGGGTGTCAGAGAACAACTTGAAGAAGTCAGTGCTCACCTTCCACCATGGGTGTCCCTAGGATCAGTGCACATCACCATGTTTGGAGGAGGGTGCCTTCATCCTTTGAGTCAAACTGCTAGGCCAAAAATATATCTTTTGACCTCTGATTGGTTGACACCACATACCACAAATTGTTTGGCTTCTGATAAAATCTGTCTGCTCTCACCAGGCACCCAATGTGCTGTTGTGTAGAAACTGTCCAGCAAAGAAGCAAGAAGCACACAGAGACTGGTGAGCTCGGGTTTATTTTTCATTGTCTGACCTGGACCCAGCCAGTGCTCTGCAAAGTTCAGCCTCAACCTGGGTTTTCTTACTGTTTTATGGATTGAACAACAGTGTTGAATTTGTTCCCTGCACAGAGTTCTTAGATTAGAAATCCATTGCAGTTAGGCATGCCTTCAGAAGGAGGGCTTGCAAGGTTCCAGCAGTTTCTGCCATGTCTGTTCTAAGAGACACCTGTCAACACCCCCCCCCCTTTTCCTTCCTGCCCTGCTTTCCCAGCCTTCTACCTACAGCTCCTATCTAGGGTCACTTACAGTATCTCCTGAACCCTGACTATGACACTGCTACTGGACTCTCTGGGCTTTGGGAAGGAAGCTGGCATTTGGTTATCCATCCCTGACCTATCGTTTATCCTAGGCTGTCACCACCATGTCCTATCAGCCTGCATTTCCATTCCTATGGAGGATACCTGGGTCTCCAGATCTCAGTAGAGACAGTCAGGGTCAGCCCAGCTCTGTGCTGCTGCACTGTGGGCTCTCGGCCTCCTCAGCCCAGAGGATCCTGATGTTGTTACAGCTCCTCAGATGGGAGGAGAGTGATGGAGACAGAACCTGGGGACATGGGTTGATCGCGTCTACACCTTTCTGACTTGTCCCCAAATGAGTTCTTGAGTCTTCTCACTTACAAGAAGACTTTTGACTCTGGTTTTCTCACACTAGGCTTTTAATGGTAACTTTCAGGAGCACCTACTGTGTGCTGACCATATTCTGAGCACTCCATGTCGTGATACTGTTCCTCTAAAACTAAATTTCAATAGCAGTGGCACTACTTCAGGAAGTGGCAATGACCTTACCGAAGTCACAGAACTGGCAGACGATAGAAGTGGTCCTGACAGCTGTGGTCATCCTAGCCAAGACAGTGACCTCCTGTCCTATTCGGATCCAAGAAAAGTTGGTCAGTTCAAGTTGTGGCAATGGCAAGGGATTGAATGGGCACATGGGAGAGATGATGGCAATGTTCTGGCATCTGGGGGAGGGACCAGTGTGTAGCAGCCGTAATAGTTAATATCAATGGAGGCAATACAGCACCTGGGTGTGGACTCCCATGCTAGGGCTCATGGCTCTGTGGGGAGGAGACCCTGACTGTGCACACTTGCTCTGTCCATACTCAGTCTTTTGCCTTGAGCCAACTTGGTGACTGATACTTGGATCTGTCTCTTGAGGATCTCATAACTATTATCCCAGATGAGATCTTTCTTCGGAGATCTTTCATTGCCCACCATGTACACAGTACCCTGTGTAAGAGGTATCCACAGTCACTTCACTTCCTTTTGTATTTACTTTTTTTCTTTGTCATGTGGACTGCATTAGAACAAGGCCACCATCATACTCCACCCAGCAGGGAGCAGAAGATCACCTCTATAAATTCATCCTAAAACTTGTTTGAGTTCTTTAAAAAAAATCTTCTCATTTTTCCTCTCATAGCACAGAACTCGTCATGGAGAAATAGCAGGGAAGAAGGTGAGCTGTGAAATGTCATAGTGATTGTAACTGAACTGCAGACAGCGTGTGTGTTAATAACGCATGCCTCTCATTGTGTCTGAATTTGCAGAGATTGTTCTAGAAGGCTCTGACTTGATCAGTGGCTTAACTTACTGAATGAGTAGAATTCTGGAGTCTGTAAGGAAGTGGGCTACACTTCGAGACTATGGGTCACTCGGAGCATGTCATCGAATGCTATTTCTTGGCTTTGTCTCCTCCTGCCACTCCTTGTTCACGGCTTCCATGTGGTAAACACTTGCCTTTGCCGTGCCTGCCCAGTGAGCTTGACCTCAGGACAGCTTCAGTTTCCTCGCTGTGACTGCACTCAGTCCGTGTGCTCACAGGGTCCTTGATTACTCATCAGAGACATGGGTTCGTAGAGCCGTTGTGACAATCAGGTAAAGAACAGTCTCTCACCATAAGTAACACCCTGGTGATAATCCTTGAGGGTCCTGTGCCCTCCCTGTACACAGGACAACCGCCCACCTCTCCTCCTCCTCCATCATTTCCATTTCAATAGTTTATCTTTATAGCTGGGTTCAGATGTCACACCCGCTACAGCTGGGTCTGTGTTGACTGAGCACGTGCCAGGGACAGCCATCTGCAATGATGTGGACAGCCCTTTTTGTGGCTGAGGAGTCACAGCCCATCATGAGGACCATCCTATCTTCCCACATACAGGACACCCTTGGTGCCTGAACTGAACACAGACTCCAGGGGCAGCAGCTGCAGGCACAGTCCTGTTGTCTGTCACTTGTGTTGGGCAGGGACAGACCTGGTCACAGCTCCTCCCCTGTACTGTTCTTCCTTCACCGTGTCCATCTCTCCTGTCCTTTTCTGGGGTCCCTACTCATCTCTGAGCCTCACTGGTCTCTTAACATAGCCTTTTCTTTTGCTAAGAGCACTTCTAACACCTGAGATACATTGTTACATCACATACATTCATTTTAAGTACTTTTTAAATGTATCTCTATTTTGATAATATCCTGCTACCTACTAGAATAATACTTTTATCACCCATAAAGTTTCTGTATCTATGAGAAGTCATGATGGACTGTCTCAGTTCTTCTGCCACATCCTCCATGGTTTATTTTTCTCCTTCATAAAGGAAAGTGTCTTCCTATGTGGGCAGCAATACGGAAGTGGTCATTCACTGAAAGGGCTATGGTGCAGTAGTTTCGAGAGTCCTGAGAGCCTGGAAGAGTGCAGTGACAAAGGCACAGGCTCTTCAAGTAATCTGTGTCTTAAGGGCCAGACTGATGGAGTCAGAAGAGAGGGCAGGGTTCAAGGTCAAGGATGTGGTGAGCTCTGGTGATGGCTCCTGAATCTGAGCCCTGGCACAGTGTTCACTTCACTAACATGGGTAAATGGGCTCATCAGTAGAGAGGATGCCATGCACTGAGGAGCAAGTTGTTGGGCAGCCCAGGACAGGTAGGTACTTTTCCAATTTTGTCCGGGCCAGCACTCCATTCTGTCACTGATCAGCACCCCAGGGAGATGGTTTTGTCCACATCAAGCTTTTGCTTACCAGACATTCCAGTCCAAGGAAGGATTGAAGGGGTTGAGAAGCAGAAGAATGTTCTTCTAACAGATAAGACCTACAGTACACACAAGTCATCTCTCAGCCCAGTGTTCAGAACCTGGGAAAAAGGCCGCTTGAGCTGCAAAGGGAGAAGTGGACACCGCTCCTTTCCAGCTTCAGGGTGCATCTATGGGGAGCACTACACAAATAAGGAAAATGGTTCTTGTATAAATTTCAAATATTCTTGTTAAACCACAAGAAAGACAAGTTTTTAAAATCACGATAAAAATCAGGAGGCAATTATTAACTCTTTATAGTCAACAATTTAGAAAACACATGATATCATTTGGAAAAAAACACACAAAGTCTGACAGGTCAGTGTTTACAAATTTATTCTTCAAATGTTATAGAATAAGGTTAGCCCTCCATGTGCATCTCAACAGATCTCATCCAATTGCAGCAGATTTTAAACTTCAATAGCAATTAAACCTCATCACTTCCCCAGACTGTGTCCTCTCCCTCTAGCAGGCACTGCTGCCACAGGGGCATTGCTGTGATGGGATACAGTCAGGGCCTCTCATGTGTCTGTGGCCTTGTTCAGGGCAGCGCCTACCTACAGTTCTGAGCTGCACTGAAGAGAGGTCACTGAGTCAGGATGTCATGCACCCGGATGAGCTCCTGCAACTTCTGCTCCAGTTCCTGAGCCTTCTGCCGCAGCTTTGCAGCAGACTTTGTCTTTGCACCCTCATGCAAATGCTTTGAGTCTTCTATGAGGTTGACCACATCTAGCACAAGGAAGAGACCTGCAGCGGCCACACCTATGAACCGGGCTCCTTTGGTCATTGCCACCAGAGCAGTGCTTCCAAAGATTTTCTCCACCTGTGTGATGCCTTGGGATGACACCTTCCCTGTGGTCATTAGATGTTGGGTATTAATTGCTAGGCTACCTTTGGATTTGGCCAGCTGGATGGCATCGATGCTATTCTTGATGACTTCCAGGTTCCGGATGGAACTCACAGATGAGAAAGGAATTCTATGGGTGCTCTTCTCCACAACTTCTTCAATGCCCTTCACTGTATTCTTACTCGTGGTCAGAACCTGGCTGGCTTTAGCTTCTGCTGACTTCGTGCTTACCTTTTCCACGATGGTTGTGGAAACACTCGTCACAGCTGCTGCTGCCCCAAGCCCCAAGCCTGTGGCTGAAAGTCCCAGACTGACCCCTGCTGTCACAGGTGCCAGAGCGAGACCAAGGATTGTCAGGACCCCAGACGCAGCACCGGTGGAGCTGGCCACCACATGTGTGATGGTGCAGTCCCTGTGCACCTTGTCAATCTTGTCTGCAAGGGCGTGGAGCTTCCCAATGTGCTTCTTAAGCTCCAGTTTCATCTGAGGATAAACTTCCAGAAACCTTTTCCTGATTTGCAGGTCATTTTGGAGATCGTCTTTATTGTCTCCATTATTGTCCACTGTGGTCTCCCCATGAGCTTCATGCAAGGCATCTTCCTCTGTCCTGTAAAAGGAGAGGCCAGCTGAGTAAGGAAGAGAGCTTGTAGGAAAGATCTGTCCTGCAGCAATCACAGAGCATCTGCTGTGAATGAAATGGAGGAGAGTCCTACAGCCTTATGACAAACCACAATGTCTTTGATTGGTAAGGAGACAATGAGTTAAAATCCATCTTAATGTGTCCTTTTTATTTTTCTTTTATGTGTATGAGTGTTTTGACTCTGTGTGTGTGTGTGTGTGTGTGTGTGTGTGTGTGTGTACATGTGCTCACACATCATATGAATGCCTGGTGCCAGAGGAGCCCAGAAGAAGGCATCAGATCCCTAGAACTGAAGTCTGGAGTTACAGAGTTGTGAGTCATCATGACGGTGCTAGGAACCGGACTTCAGGCACCTGGAAGTGCTCTTAACCACCTGATCCATCTCTCTAGTCCTTTGATACACACTCCTATTGCTAGGCATTTAATAAAGGTCAATGTCATCACTACAAACATTCTTTTCAATAGGAACTCCAAACCAAGACAGAGATTAGAAAAAAATATATATCTCTTTCATTTAGGGAAACTTAGTATTCTTTAAAGAGTTCACTTCCTTCACAGAAAAGCCTTCTATGGCCTATGACCTTTGGATTGATCTTGATTTTCCTGTGCATGGTAGGCCTGCCCTGTTCAGGCTTGTCAAGAATCCTTCTCTGGTTGTGAGACTGCCCTACCTTTGATACTCAATAGTCAATCAAGTTCCCATGTCTAACTTATGGTGTCTTAGTCTTGACTTCCCTCGGGAGGAATCCCATGAGGTCAGCTTCACAGTGCCCCTGCTCCCTGCTCACTATTGCCCCTCATTCAGCTTGTCTGCCAGAGTCCCCAGCTGAATGCCTATCCAGAAGTGTTCTGTCTCTTCCCCTTAGAGCAACAGCCCAGACCAGCACCTTCCTGACTGCTAACTCGTGTTAGAATACGGCTTCTCTACCAAGGTATCTTTCTTGGTGTGGGTCGCTCCCTGTTAGCTTTCACATAACTGTGCTGTGTCTTGAGGACAGCAGAAAATTCTCCATTGATATCTAGATGCCCCCTTAGGATGTGGCTAATTTTGTAAACACGTGGACCTGAGTTCTGTGTTCCAGAGTCCACATAGAAAAGCTAGGTACAATTCTATCAGGCTACTGTTACCTTAACCCAAACCACACAATGATGCAACAATGAAAGAGTCTCCATGTAGAACACTGATGCAAAAACTTCACAAAATATTGGCTAACTCAATCCTAGAACACGTAAAAGAAATCATTCATCATGAATATGTAGGGTTCATCCCTTACATGCAGGGATGGTTCAATATAAGAAAATCTGTCAATGTATCCACAATATAAACAGACAGAAAGACAGAAACACATGATCATCTTCTTAGCAAGGATTTTGTCCTTGGCAAAATCCACTGCCCCTAATGATAAAAGTTTTACGGAGATCGGGGATACAAGGAACTTACCTAAATATAATATAAACAATAAACAACAAGCCGACAGCCAACATCAAATTAAATGGAGAGAAACTGGACAAATCAGCTCTTTCTACAAGTTCTCTTCCAGATTCCTCTTTAGTTGGCAGGAGCTGCAGGGCATCTGTGTTCCTTGTATCCCAGAGATACTCAACCACAGACATGATGAAGCCTTTCCTCTCTGGATGGGAAGAAAAAGAAATATGATTAGAACACCATGCTGGAGACCTTGAACGGCTTCAGGAACTAGGTTTTAAAATGTGTTCTGAGGGTTGGAGAGATGGTTCAGAGGTTAAGAGCATTGCCTGCTCTTCCAAAGGTCCTGAGTTCAATTCCCAGCAACCACATGGTGGTTCACAACCATCTCTAATGGGGTTTGGTGCCCTCTTCTGGCCTGCAGGCATACACACAGACAGAATATTGTATACATAATAAATAAATATTAAAAAAAAAATAAAATGTGTTCTGAGCATCTGTCCCTTCAGGTATAATCTGGTGTCACTTTTGGTAGGGACTAAGTTGTGTCCCTTAACACATTTGTTAGAGCTCTATCCCTAGGTGACTGTATTTGGAGATGGAGAAGGAAGAAAGTGAGGTTGTGAGTGAGGTCCCTGACCCAGAGGGTTAGTGTCCTCACAGCAGCCAAAAGAAGCGCCCTCCCTCTATTCCCTCCTTCTCTGTCTCCCCCACCCTCCCCTTTCTCCCTTTCCCTGACTCTCTTCTCTCTAGACACACAAGAGAGTCTATGGGCTAGAACAGAGAAGAGAATCCCTCTACCAACTTGGAAGAGAGTGCCCCCCCCCAGCGCTAATCTGCCACACTTTGATTGTGGTTGCTGGATTCCAGAACAGTGAGAGAAGAGGTCCTTTCTCTTTAAACCACCTACCCAGTGTCACTTTGTGATGACATCCTGAGAGGACATATATATCAGGGAACTGTCTTGGTGCTTTGCAGAGACATGTATGGTTTTCAGCTCAGAACAGTTAGAAAGTGAGTCTCTCATCCCCAGGAAGAGGGAGAGTCCAGTGATGGCATCCATCTACTGTGTGCCTGGGGCCCAGTCCTTGAATGTGATGTTTTCCCTTGATTTTTATTTTATGTATGGGAATATATGCCTGCTTGCATTTATGTCTTTGTACCATGTGTGTGTCTGGTGACCAAGAGGTCCTTGGGTCCCCTGGATTGGCAGTTACAGCCTGCTGTGAACCTGATGTGGGCATTGGGAACTGAGTTCCAGAAGAGTAGAGCTACAAAGTGAGAGACTGTCTTTAAAAAAAAAGACAACAAACAAACAAAACGCTAAAAAGAAGTGGAATTGGCAAAACCAGGGGAGAGAGGACAGGAAGAGCGAGCACCCGTGGATGATTCCAGGTATGCACATACGCACACACGTAGACGCGCCAACACTCTACAAATTCATAATTTAAATCTTTTACGATACTTTTAAGTGATTTCTGAATTTTCATTTTAATTGTCTCATTGTAATTGTATGCATGGATGTAACACAGTATATTTCATGATAAATTATTATGTTATTAGTTTAAAATTTTATCATTCAGTTAAGAATGTTCAAAATAGGGCTGAGAGATGGCTCAGCAGTTAAGGGTTCTAGCTCTTCTTCCAGAGGACACAGGTTCAATTCCCATCACCCACGGGCACCTCACAATTATCTGTAACTTCAGCACTGGGAATTCAACACCCTCACACAGACATACATGTAGGAAAATACAAATTCACATAAAATGAAAATAAACAAATTATTTTTAAAAGCTTGTTCAAAATTCAATTCTCACTATCACTACCTTTAAAAAAAATTTTTTTGAAACAGGGTTTCTCTTTGTAACAGTCCTAGCTGTACTAGAACAAGCTCTGTAAACCAGGCTGGCTTCAAACCCACAGAGATCCTCCTGCTTCTGCTTCCTGAGTGCTGGGATTAAAGGCATGCGCCACCACCACCCGGCCCTATTCAGCATTTCTAATGTGTGATAAATGGAATCCGGAAATGATGGTGCAGACCTATAACCCAGCACATCGCAGATGAGGCAGGAGGATTGTGAGTCTGCGGTCAACTTGGGTGACATAGCAAGACATTTTTTGAGTGGCAGGGAAGAGAGAGGGGTAGGGAGAATTGGAGAATGAAGAAGGGAGGAGGCACACGGGGCAGTTCCAGCAGTAAAGGCCTTCATTCACGACCAGCAGCAGAACACGTGAACTTCCCGTTAAAGGAGACCAACATTGTAATGGCTGCAAATCTTCTCAGGTCACTGGAGGTCAGTTCCTGCCCACGTGATGTGGAGGTTATGGTATTAAAGAGAAGGGAGTGAGGACGAGCTGTGTTGTAACATACCTGGAGGGTGTGTCTCTCATGGTTGAAAATGACATTTCGAGGACACACTACTGAGATCAAGTGTCAGAAAGACTCCTGCTGTGATGGACAGCTAAGATCAGCAGCACACGGGGGCACGGGGGTCTCTGGTTGGTGGGACCCTCCACGCTGACCCTGGTTTCCTCGTGTGTCAGGGTCTGGCACCCCAGCACCTGCCCAGGCTTTCCAGGCCGCCCCATTTAGAAGGGAATACCTACCCTGCAGACTCCATGTGCTCTGTATCCTTCCTCATGGATCCTAGAGCCTCCTGCATGCTCTAAGCGCCCCACATCTAAGCTTTCCTCCCTTCCTTATTCTATTGCATGATTTCTGTGTTATTAACGTTTATTTATTATCCAAAGTGGAGAGTATTGAAATGCCATTTCATTCAAGTTTATCATGTATGTTGGCTGTGTTCACTGTGTACCTTCTCCTGTTACTAGTTATTACTTTTTTAGTTAGTAGTTATTACTTTGGAGAATAGTTCCCCTAAATTATTATACTGTGTGTGTGTGTGTGTGTGTGTGTGTGTGTGTGTGTGTGTGTTCTAAGTTCCACATTTGAAAGAAACAGTCAACATTTGTCTTTAAATCTGACTTATTTTGGTCAACAGGATGCCCCACAGTTCCACCCATTTTCCTGCAGAGGGCACACTTTCATTCATCTTTATGGCTGAATAAAATTCCATCGTCATGTGCACCGCACTGTCTCTATGCATCTGTTGATGTGCATGATTGCTCTTCCCATGTCTCAGTTATTGTGAATCTCACTGTGATGGCCATGAAGGCTCCAGCTCCTCTCTAACACACGCATGGAGGTTCCTTGAGGAGTACACCCTTGGGTGGGATAACTTGGTCACATTGAAGTTGTAATGGCGTCCTGACCAAGTGCACAGCTCTGTAGTTTTTTCTCTCTCATTCTTTAACACGCCTGCTGTGCAGTGTGGGTTGGCCAAGCTGAGCAAATGACTTGACTGCCTAAGCGGCAGAGGTGAGGGAAGAAGACAGTGAGCACAGGGCTCAGGACACCAGTGTGGAACAAGGGCTGGTGTAGGGGGCTGTTCCTGGATAGAGTCACTTCTGAGCGGACCTTTTTTGTTCTTTTGTTTGTTTGTTTGTTTGTTTTCTGGGTTTCTGTTTCAACTTAATTTTTTTTTTACGCAACAGAAGAAAAACCAGGCCTGACTTGAGACCAACACACCTGGTAAACAAGCTCTGGTCCTGGCTGTGCAGGGGATGGGGATTATGTCGCCTGGAGTTAATGAGGTGCGGTAGAGGCTGCAGCAGGCTTTGGTCTGGACACATGGGGACACTCGGCCCTAAATAGGTAATAGGAGGTGAGAATCTCCAGGTAACATAGATGGACTGTGGGTAAGGTCTCTCTGGGGTGTAGTAACTTCCTGATGAAGCAGTTAGAACAGGTGGGTGTCTAAGCTGGTGCAGGGTGGGCTCCTCCTCAGGGACAGTGCCACAGGGTCAGCTGAGAGTGAGCGAGCCACCAAGAGAGAGCTGGAGCTGCCTCCCATCTTCACGTTCCCTGCCTCCTGTTCCCTCCGTTCCTCCCTCCTTGGCTTCCATTTTTCAGACTGGGTATTGCTGAAGTTCCTCCTGAGAATGCATCCCAAGAGAAGATGAGGATGTGGGGCTGCTCTAACCCAGGACTGGGGAGCTCTCTGCTCCCACTTGGGGTTCTCCTCCTGCATCTTTGACTCCTCAGCAGGCCTCAGCAGGGAGGCCCTGGAGTCCTAGGCCATGAGCAGTAGCAGAGAACAGACTGATTACCTGTGGAGCCCATGACAGCTGTGGGTCTTGGTGTCACTCAGAGGATCCTGAGAGGTTTCCTTACAGCTCACCGGGTGTCCAGGCTACAGGAGGAAATAACAACCTGTGGGACAGAATGGGGACAGCTCTGTGACCAGGGATCTGGTGACCCACAGTTCTCTCCATAGTGACTGCCAAGGGCAGAAAGAACTGAACCCAAAGCTTGTCTGCTCCCTCAAGTTCTCCTCCTCCCGTTATTCTTTTTAAAGATATAGTGGTGGGGGGCTGGTCCCCCAAGGGGTAGTAGCAGGTGACCCAAGGCCTGGGTGAGTCCCTGAGGCCTTGGTGGGTTGCCTTGGCAGATGGGAGACCGCAGTGGATGAGAGACAGACAGATACCTCATGCAGAGAGATTGGATATAGAGTTTATTTAGTGGGTTATGAAGGGAAAAGGAAATGAGGAAGGGGATAAGGGGGAAGAAGAAAGAGAGGCAGAGAGAGAGAGAGAGTTGGGGGAGAGAGATAGAGAGGAAGGGGAGAGAGAGCAGAAGTTACCTCTTCAGGAGAGAGAGCTCAGGGATGCAGGAGGCAAGAGATCTGCTTGCCTCAGTTGAAGGCAATGGTTGGGAGTGGGTGGGGCTTGCCTCTTAAAGGGACAGAGTACCCAGGTGACAGGACAGGCTAGTAAATCATAACATTCCCATCTCTTTTTTATAATGAAAAAGCGGGAAGTTAGGCACAACAGGTTAAAGAAATCAGGAGGGAGGATTCTCAAGACAGCTTCCTGCTTATTTGTGGGCATTGTCTTGGGGGAACCTGAGAAAACTGGGTGCTGGTCATATCCTGGGGTAGCTGGTCACTTTTCACCTGTCCAGGGTTTGTGGTATGGAACTCTCCTGTGTCTCTTGGATCTAGCAAGGTATTAACAGAACAGAGGACAAAGTTAAATTTAGGAAGAAAAATTTTTCAGGATCAGGGAATTGAGAAGGGTGTGTATCTGACCTGTTTAAGGTGGATCCTTTAATTAAGCTCCCTGGAACTTACAAGAACTTTTTGGGTTTATGAAAACATAAATTTTAACCAGTAGCATATTTATACCACAATGACTGTGACAGATATTTTTGTATAATGAAAAGTATTTTTAAGACTATGAAAGGCAGCATGATAGAGAATTTTGTCCTAACATCTTCTGTATAACTTGCAGGTACACACCTTAACAACATTTATTTTGTATTTTACTGAAATTTTTTGGTGAGGTTGTCCTTTTAAATGACAAAACCTCTCAGCTGTCAAACTGCATCAGAGATCTTTGAGAAGGATAAAATTTTACTTGAGTTATCAATTAAAAAAGCAACAGAGAACTTACTTGGTTGGCACTAGAGCTACTCCTCGGAGTCCTTTATGGTCGCTGAGGGTCATATTTGCCTTTTGCTGTTTAGTGCAGGGCCTGCCAGGTTTTAGAAGATCCTGTGAGTTAGAAATCTGTAGGAAGACAAGCCTACCTTGACCTGAGCAGCTAGGCTGTCAATTCCAGTGATTCTGTCCACTGTCTGGATACCTTCAGTTTAGATGAAAGGCAGTTTTGGTCAGCATTTGATAAAGGGAAGTTGCAGGTGGACATTGTTCTGTGCCCATCTGTCTTCTGTCTTCTTTGGGGGAAATAGCACGCTGCTAGGAGCCAACCTGTCTCTGTTATAAAAAGTCTTTTAAAAATTAAAGATTTAAATGCCATATTTCCCAGATCTCTGGCAGTTGAGGGCTGCTTATCAGGTATAAACTACAGTATAGAATCTGCCTGCCTGGAGAACTGAGTCTAAGCTTGAGTGCAATGGCTATCTAAATTTAGTTAGAAATGTGGTTGGCTGCGGGAGGGGGGGGCTGGAGAGATCGATAATGAAGTCAAGCTGATTCCCAGCCAGTTGGCTCAGGAACCAGGGGCTAGGGACACCTGTTGTGCCTAACTTCCCACCCTTTTATTATAAGAGATGGGAATGTTATGATCTACTAGCCTGTCCTGTCACCTGGGTATCCTGTCCCTTAAGAGAAAAGCCCTGTCCGCTCCCAACCCTCCCCTTCCACTGAGGGTATCCAGCGGGCAGAGTCGGAGCAAATATTCCAAGAAACTGTGTGCAGGGTGACAGAGGCAGCTGGTAGCAGCCCAAGGAGAGAAGGAATTGACTTTGCAGTCAAGTTGTGGTGGTCAAGCAAACCCGAGTCCAGTGACCCCAGAGAGCACTCCAAAAACTGGAAAGAGTGCTGCAGGGGTGGGGATATGGGGGATACTGGGCTTCCTGGAGCAGGCTACGGGTGTGTGTGTCCCAACCCCCACACGGATACATGAGAGCCCCCGCCCTTTCCACTCATACCCTAACAGGAGATCAAAGGGCTCAGAAGGTAGATGGCTGCCAGCCACCTGCTCAGTCCCTGTCCCAGGATCCTGGTCAAGTCTCTCTATTCTGAAACCTCAGTTTCCTCACAAGGCCTGACCCAGAGTGAAGGTTCAGAGTCAGGTTGGGTGCAAAAACCCTGGGTGGGATCCTTGCGTCTCAAAAGGCAGTCCTTGTCCCCATTCTGCTTAAGTCACAGCACCCCAAAGCCAGCTCTGCCTGTCCAGGCCCTCAAACAGAGATGTGTGGTCCCCTATCCCCTATCTTGTTGCTTCCTGTTTCCCAGTGGAGGGACACTGAGAGCAGACTCCTCCCTGAGGTCTCCTGGTCACGGGTCAGGAACCTGGTGCACATGCTGCATCCCATAGGTTCTATGGTCCCATCTGAGGAGCCCCTCACTGTGTCTCATGAGCAGATGGGAAGGGGGAGCAGCTGGACCCCAAATCTGCTGCAAGGCTAGTTTCATTGATGCTGTGTCTGTGACCTGAGGCAGATGCCTGACCTTGTTGAACTTATCAACAAAACAGGTGCCATGTTCCTCTTTCAGAGAGGCTGTGGGGGTATGTAGGCGTGAGAGCTTAGACATTCCCCAATTTACACAAAAACTTCAACAGGCTGAGTTTGGATGGAGCTGGACAGTCCTTAGCTGTGTGGACATGGTGACCAGCTGTGCATCCAAGTGGTTACGGAACACGGCCTCCTGCTGATTTACCCAAACCAGAAAACGAAAGAGAAAAAGTCCCACTTGGCAAGGAACTGACAGAAGCCAGGGAACTTGAGTCTTGCTGGATGCTACCCTCATCCCACGCTCCTGGCTGACCCACTCAAAGGAGTGACCTTAGTCCTAGGTTCTTAGCTGAACCCATTTTAAATGGGGGGGTCTCTGTGGTCTGGAGGGAAAAGACCTGGCACCACAGACTCAGGGACTATCCACAGATCATCCTCTGTACCTCCTGGGTTCTGTTCATCCCCTCCATCCCCCACCCACATCCTCAGCACCGCCCCCACCTCCTGTTCTGTTGATGCTGACCTTGGTGCTGCCGACGATGGCGTGCACAGCATCTGATCATCTGCTTTTGTGGGTTCTCCTCCCAGGAACTCCTGCTCTGAAGCACTCAGTATCACATCCTCTCGGGGCAACAGGCCCCCAAACCTTAGTAGGCCTCCAGACCTTCGCACAGCTGACTCCGTGATGGAAGCACCATTCAGACCACAAACCCAGCACATAGACAGCATCACCTGACATAAGGAAAATTAATTCTAACCCATCAAAGTCCATGGTTCTCCTGGAAGTCTCTAAACAGGCTAACCTTGCATTGTAGCTTCTGGAGTCAGCTCCTGGCTGACTGTTCTGCTTAACTGAAGTATGCCATGCCGGGATATGGTTTTTGTGCTTAAAACTCACCCTGAGAAAGGCTCAATGCAATACTGGGATTTGGAGCACAGTTGTAGATACTGGGGGACTAACAAAGACTTTCTATTGGCTCGAGCCTGTGTCTGAATAGCCTTCTCTGGTGGATTCCCACATTTCTGGAGATCCCTAGAGATATCAGATCCTCTCAGAGCAGGAAAGATCATAGTGGTCAAGGAGTTCAAATGGGGTAGGAAACCTTCGACATTTCAGGTCCCCAGGATTCCCTTTGGTCACATCCTGCCTGCTATGCCCAGTCTGTGGGGACCCCAAAAGACCACCAGGGAGACAGGCTCACCAAAATGCCAAAAGCAAGGTTTATTGTGTGCACAATACAAGCTGACAGGGAGCTCGTCAAAGCAACTGGTGCAGCAGGGGCAAGAGGAGGTACCCTGCCCTTCTAGAGGGCATTATTTAAAGGCAAAACCCAGAAAATTTACATTAGCAGGGTGTGGGGTGACGGGCTCAATTCTGACCGACTCTTGTCCAGGGACTTCAGAAATTTTACTTTTGAACCTCGCCTGTTGCTTGTCACATTTTCTTATCAGCTGACCCTCAGGTGGGGACATTCTGTAATTATCTGTACTTTCCAGCTGGCTACCCTGTTATTTTTGCCCGTAGCCATTTCTGAGGACTGGAATGTTTTACAGGAGATATCTTAAACAAGACACAAGATGGAGGCAGAGGACAAAATGGAGGAACTTTGGTTCTTCACTGCCTAATATTTCCGAGGGGTCTGATACCTCCACTGGAAAAAGAAACACATTAGAATATCACCTGGCCTGTCACCTTCTTAAGTCTCGTTAAGATGTCTTCTGTTTAGGACACAAGGAGAGGACAGACATGGCCATTGATCAGTGTCCGGGATCTGTGTGAGACGGCACCAGGCTCCCCTGGTCTGCTCAGGTGTATGAATGTGTGGCGTCCACCCCTGGTTGTCTCTACTGTGTGTCTCTCTATGTGTTTCTCTCAGTTCTATTTCCCTGTATTGACCTGACCAGTGGCTTTCTCTGGTGTGAGAGAGGAAAGAAAAAAAGACAAAACAAAACGGTCTGTCTGTTTATGACCTGTGCCTTCTTGTCGGGGACCTGAATCCTTTTGGTTCCGCTAGATCACCCAGAAGCCTAAATTACCTCTGCCTGTCCCACTCCAAGAGCGTTCTACTGTTTTGTTGCTGGACTCCCATTCATGGCTGGAGTCAGTCCTAGTCTCTATGAAGTGTTGGGGGGCCCCGGGGGGGGGGGCTGACATCTAAGCAGAATGCCCACAAGGAGAAATAGTTTCCCAAACCACACACTTCCTTTTCTCCCCTTCCCCCTTTCTCTAAGCAGCCCCTGGGAACAGGAAATGTTCCCCTGAGCAAAAGAGGAAGTTCCACTCCTTCCTCTTTCATGATGTATCTTTTTCAACAAGCAATCTATGTAATTGGAGAACTCAAAACCTACCATTTTTTTCCAAAAGTAGAACACCCCTCCCCCAGAACCTTGTCAGTGTGCGGATTAGAGCAGGACTAGTCAGCCTGGACAGAATGGATTTTCCCTTATGTCCAACACTGACCAATGGGACTTTAAATAATTTTCCCCAGGTTCTTTCAGAAGGATGAATGACAGCTGCTGAAAGATTTCTTTTGTCAGCCAGTTGGCCCTAGATGTTAGAAAATAGTTAGAAAAATTAGAAAAATGTATAGGTATAAATGGGTCCCAGTTGCTGGAGGAAGCTCAAAGGCGTTTAACAGCAGAGAACCAATTGAGAGACGACACCTTTTGCATAAACTTAAAGCCACTGTCAACTCTCATGATGAGACACAGTTAGACTTACAGACTCTGTCAGAAGAATATCTCCTAGCTCAAAGTCCTACCCTTTATCAAAGGATACAGCTGGACTATCTCTTGGATTTACAATTATTGGGGATATGGGCAGAAATCAACCCCTCAATACTGCCCCAACACCAAGTTCCTTATAATTGCTCAACTGATCAGTTCAGCTACTCTCTGCAGACTAAACAATACCCAATGACCCTGGAAACAAAAAGGGAAGCTGTGGTCCCCATTGCCAGGCTTAGAGAGACAGGCATCCGGGTGCCCTGCCAGTCACCCTGGAATACACCTCTCATGTCTGTCAAGAAACCTGGGACCTCTGGTTCTCACGAGTCTGATTCTTCCAGAGAAACAGGTGTGCACTGTCTTGGACCTGAAGGATGCCTTCTTCAGCCTCCCGTGGGCACAGGTGAGTCAAACCATTTTTGCTCTTACATGGTCAGATCGAGAAAAAAGGTTACAGTGGGCAACTTCCCTGGACCAGGTTGTCCCAAAGATTTGAAAATTCTCCAGCCAGCCCTGTTTGATGAGACACTAAATGCTGACCTCCTGCTCTTCATCAGAGGTTTCCTGGGACCACACTCTAACAACGTATACTCTAACCAATCCTCCTCCTAGCCTCTAAAACTAAAATAAGTTCTAAAAGCGCCACTGAGGGGCTGCAGCAAGAGTGACCTTGGTCTCCAGAGCACTGGCTAAGAAGGACCAGCTTTGTAAGTCAGAGCCTACCCATCGTGATACCCAGCTGGGGGAGGCAAAGGGAGCAATCTTGGAGATTCAGTTCCAAAGACTAAGAGGCAGGTTCAAGAGTTCCTAGGTGTAGCTAGGTATTGCTGCCTCTGAATATCAGGGTTTGTGGACATAGCAAGGCCTCTATACATCAGCACAAGGGGCAGGGACACTGAGTCCCTAATTTGGACTGAAACTAAACAAAAGGCATTTGAAACTTTAAAAGCAGTCTGACTTCAGCTCCAACCCTAGCACTTCCGGATGTCTCAAAACTTTTCATCTGTCCACAAAATAAAAGACATTACAAAGGGGGTTCTAACCCCAAACTTTGGGGCCATGTAAATGCCCTGTGTCATACCTTTCCAAACGATCGGACCCTGTAGTCACAGGACAGCCCACCTGCCTAAGAGCTGTGGTAGCAACCATTAATGAAAAACAAAACAACAACAAAATACAAGCTAACTCTTGGTCGGGATCTTAGACTCACAGCACCCCACACTGTTGAGGCTCTCCTCTGAGGAACACAAGAATGCTGGAATGCCTATGGGAACCAGTACCAGGTCCTACTCCTGGGCCACTTTCGACTCAAGTTGGAGAAGCTGACTGCCTTCAATTCTGATACCGTCTTTCCTGATATCAACTCACCTATGACTGTCATAAGATGAAAGACGAAACCAGGTACATGGGGGTTGGAGTAATTACTTTCACTGAAATACTTTTAGCCCAAGTCAGGCACCTCAGTCCACACAGCAAAACTGATCGGCCTGACCCAGGTTCAGATGGGGAAAAAAGAAAGCTCATCACCATAACCACAGACTGTTGCTATGGTTTTACTACCTGCATTTCCACAGGATGCTGTATAGAGAAAGATGGCCTCTCACCTCTTGGGGAAAGGACATTAAAAACAAAGAACACCTTGGCTCTCCCAGAGTCTAGTTGACTCCCCTCTCCCCCCACAAATACTTGCGGCCATGCTCTCTGGTTTACAGTGATTGTTGACTGTGTTTCTTCTGTCAAGTTTCCTCCCACTGAAATCTGTCTCCGTTTATTAATATGACTTTAGCTAGACAGCGAGATGCAGGACTGTGAGGGTCCACGCAAGCTGCAGGCTAGCAGGGATATGGGCCCTCTGCAGAGTACAGAACACACTGAAATGTCCGCAGACTCTTGACAGTCTCTGGGTTGAGCATCAGGATGGAGCTACAGACTCGTGCAGTGGGGGAGTGGAGTAGGGGGTCTCTAACCTTAGGTCCGTCCCACCCGGACATCCTGGAGATCTGCTAAAGAATGGCTCAGTTGACCAGTGACATGCCAAGAAATGTTTCTCAGGGTGGCTGTCATTTAAGAGTTGAGGATGATCTAGAGGTCATTTTAGCCCAATGGAATGTGACCCTGATGCGATGGGAAGCATTAGCTGAAGGATCTAGGGGGAGTGTGTGGACCACAGCATCTCCTAGAGGCGTCAGTGACCAAGATGTCCGATCACCATGGTTACCCTATCACAGTCCATATACTGGAGAAAGCATGGCCAAGAGCAGCACTCACCTCCTGCTGGTCCCTCTTCTTCTAGCGGCTGGGATCTTCCAAATGAGCCTGTGACCTGGTGGCTTCTGAAATCATCTAATGGCCAGGACAGACAAACCTCCCATGACGGGAAAGCACAGGGATGAACGTAAGTATCATCTGTTGAGAGCCCTGGTGGCTCCCTGGGAGAGGAAGGACAGCCACTGCCCCACATGATCAAAATCTGGACACTTGGACCCCAAGAACATCTGATTTGTTTTTGTTCAGTAGGGAACAACTAGGCCCTAGATAACAAGTATCAGTTTTAAGAAGGTTCCAAGTTGTAGAGCCAAGTGTATAGCCTTTGGACTATAAGCAATTGTCAAACTGCACATAAAGATGACAGAATCTAAGCCATGAATGTAATATTTTTGTTTGGAGCACAGATAACTTTGCCCTCAGTTGGCCACATGGGTAATCGTCAGGAGCAGCAGGTTCATTTGCTGAGTGAGCACAGCAGCTTTGGATTAAACCAGAATGAGCTGACCCAGAATTGATCCAGAAAAGCTGGAAATCACCTGGAGACTTGCTGCTGATTATTGTGGAAACTGCCTACAAAGTTCAGCCAGGGAAAGGACCTGGCCTCATGGTCAGTAGATTCCTGAGTGGGAGAGGGGACATGTTACGAAAGTCACATCACCAGACAGCTGGGTAGCAAATTTTAAAGGTACCATCCGGTCTCCCCTCCTATACTCTGAGTTAGAGGACATCGGAGAGTTGGCAGGTGTCACTCTTATGTCATAGCAAAGTCTTGAAATCCACCACACCTGGCTTCTGCAACCAGGGTGAAGGATCATCACCCCAGATACAGAAATGCCACATTACCCGGCCAATCCCCTTCTGAATAAATGCATAGAAACAACAAAAACAGAGACATGGCCAGATGTTTGTTCTCCCACGTTCCCAGCAACTTGATTCATAACAGTCAAAGGCACAGCCTGGATGTCCCCCGTGAGCTGAACCGAGTGAGAGTGTGACAGTGTGGAGTGGAATCTCTCGGCGTTTAATGGGCAGGAAATTCTGTCACACACACAACACGATGAAGCCTGGCATTATTAGCATAGATGAAATAAACTGGACACAGAAGGACAGATGCTGCATGTCTCCTTCGTGAGGACAATGGGGAAGGGAGAGCCCACAGGAGAGAAGCCAGTGGTGGTTCCAGAGGTTGTGGAGAACAGTGTCAGCCCACAGATGAAGAGATCTGGATGCTGGAGATGTTGCTCGCTCTCTCTCTCTCTCTCTCTCTCTCTCTCTCTCTCTCTCTCTCACACACACACACACACACACACACACACACCAGAGTGCTTATGGTGGGCCATATGTATATTTTTACCACAGCTTCAAAATCTATTTTTTCTTTTAAAACTTTATTCTTCTCTCATACAATACATCCTGATCACAGCCTCTCCTCCCTCCCCTTCTGCCAGTTCCTCACCCCACTTTCCCTCTCCCCCAGATCTACTGCTCCTCCAGTTCCTTTCAGAAAAGCACAGGCTTCCCAGGGATATCAACCAAACACGGCATAACAAGATGTGGTAAGACTAGGCAGAAACCCTCATATCAAGGCTGGAAAACAATCCAGTAGGAAGAAAGAATCCCAAGGAAGCAAGCAGGCAAAAGAATCAAAGACACCCCCTTCCTCTGTTGGGAGCCCACAAAAACACCAAGCTAAACAACCACAACTTGTACGCTGAGGACATAGAGCAGACCCAGGCAGTCTCTGGGAGTCCCTGGGAGCCCTGGTTAGTTGATTCTGTGGACTGTGTTCTCCTGGTGTCCTTGGCCCCTCAGGCTCCTACAGTTCTTCCTCTCCCTCTTCTGCAGGGTCCCAGAAGCTCTGTCTAATGTTTGGCTGTGGGTCTCTGCATCTGCTCCCATCAGCTGCTGGAGAAAACCTCTCTGATGACGATTGGGCTAGACTGGTCCTGTGAGTATAGCAGACTAGCATTAGAAATCAGCTCATTGACTTTTTTTCTCGGTCCTGTTTGGTTCTGCCCTAGGTTTGTGAGCCCAGCAGCTTCCAGTTCCTGACCTCCAGACAGCGTTGGGCACGGGCTCCCTCTTGTGACTTGGGCCCCAAGTTAGACTAGTCATTGGTTGGCCACACCCCCAAACTCTGAGCCACCATAGCCCCAGTGCTTTTTGTCAGCAGGGTCAAAGGTTTTGTGGCTGGTTTGGTGTCCCAGTCCCACCACTGGGAGCCTGACTGCAGATGATGGCCAGCTCAGCCTGCATATCCTCCATTGCTAGGAGTCCTCGCTAGAGTCGACCTGATAGATTTTAGGATGTTTCCACTGCCCTAGGTTTCCCCTCTGCCCTTAAATGCCCACCTAATCCAGTCATCTCTCTCTGCACACTCTCTCTCCACCCCCCATCTGTTCCTCCCTGTCCCTATCCCCACCTGCCCCCCAATCTACCCACAAATCCATTCTATGTCCCCTTCTCAGGGAGATGCATGCACTGCATGCAATAATTGTAGTGGATTATCCTTTACTTAACAAATAATATCCACTTATAAGTTATAATATCATAACTGAGTACGTTATGCCCAAATCACAGAGTCCCCCCAAAACCAACTAGGAGACCGAGTACTGTACGTAAAAGCAAAGAGCCTTTGTTGTTACACAAGTTTGCAAACTCAGACTCTCCGTGTGTCCAATGTATTGGAGTGATCAGAGAGCCCTGAGCTCAGCTGGGGTTGGGTTTTATCATAGCAGAGGTTGGGTGTGAGGGATTGCTAAGGTTCAGGACCCCTGATTAGCTGACATTTGTTTAGGGGTGTCCTGGTGAAAAACAATGGGTGTGTGCTGGCTGGTGGTCCTATCTACAAAGGTTGAAACGTTAGGAATTTCCTCTGGATGGTCTGTTCCTGGGTGGTGCCTGGGTAGTCTCAGTTTGTGGTCTTTCTTGTAACCAGGCATCATCTCAGGGTAAACTTCTGAGACTCAGGCCCCTATTGAGCTTGTCATGGCTGGGTCCTACCTACAGAGTGCATACCATATTTGTCTTTCTGTGTCTGGGTTGTCTTGCTTAGGATTTTTTTTCTAGTTCCATTCATTTGCCAGTAAATTTTATGTCATGTTTTCTAACATCTGAGTTATTCTCCACTATGTAAATATACCACATTTTCTTTATCCATTCTTGGGTTATAGACATCTATGTTGTTTCCAGTTTCTGGCTATTATAATAAAGCTAGTATAAACACAGCTGAGCAATTCTAATATTTTTCAAAATCCAAACTTCTCTGGTAAAACTGATAGCCAAAAGGGTCTGGAGAGATGGCTCAGAGACGAACAAGGCTGTCATTTACCATTGCCATTCTTGTCAATGACCAGGGTTCAATTTCCAGCACCCACACGACAGCTTATAACCATCCTTAGCTCCAATTCCAGAGGATCCAGCACCCTCTTCTTGCCTCCTCAGACCAGGCATGCATGCAGGGCAGTCACAGACAGGCAGGCTAAACACCAACACACATAAAATATGAATAATAAATTGATCTTTAAAATATTAAAGGAAAGAAGCACTTGCAATGTTTTGACTTAGGAAAATTATAGGAGGAGAAAGCAAAGTCCTGCCCAGCGCTGTGACAGACTGAGCAGGACAGGGAGGCTCATACGCATGCCTGGGGCTGTCTGCTCTGGGCCCTAAGAAAAAACACAGGTTTGCCTGGTGTCTTACGCCGCTGGGCAGTGGGGCATCATTATGGTGAGCAAATGCTATGGGACAGATATAGATAGATAGATAGATAGATAGATAGATAGATAGATAGATAGATAGATAGATATAGACCCCATGGACACATGCACATCTGAAGAGGTGACAGTGGTGAGGAGCAGGCTGAGGTTGCTGACTTCATTGCCATCTAGGGCCATGGTGATGTCTGGGCCTGGCCTGCTGCCCCAGGCCCTTGTCTGGGCTCATGGCCCTGTTGCAGCCATAGTCTCTGTTGATGTCCATGGCTCATGATATGACTGAGGGCCCAAAGTATAGGGATGTATAGAGTTGGCCTTATCTTCACTGACAGCAACACTAGGGAGAACTGGTCTTGCCCCTCATTGGGTGAAACACTCAGGAGGGAGGGTCCTACACCTCAACTGGGCAACACAATAGAGCTGGCCCTGTCTTGGGGGACATAGGTGAGTGCCCTTTCCCCTGCTCCACCCCATGCCACCTGTGGCAGGTGGGAGAGCTGGCCTGAAGGTCATCAGAGTGGGAGAGTTGTTCCTGCCCCTCACCACTGCAGCACTCCAGAGAGTGGCCTCTGCACCTTACCTGCGCAACAGAGTAGAGCTGGCCCTGGTGGTGTAGGTGTGGGAGAGATGATCTGAGGGCCCGAGAGCAGGAGAACGGGCCCTGTCCCTTGCTCCTTGCTGCACATGGTGCACTAGCTGGGGCAGCACTGGAGAGCTCGCCCTGGCTGTGAGGACTGGGGAGAGCTGGCTGGCTGACCAGCCCTGCACTACCCAGACCCAGAACTGTGTGGTTCTGAGTTCACCCACTACAGCATCCACCCCATCTGTGATCTGCTGGAGCACTTGAGAGGGCCGGTCGTGCAGACCCAAAGCTGCAGGATCTTCATGACACAGGGCAGCAACAGGATGTCCAAGAGGAGTCCAGTGAGGGCAGAGCATCAGTAGTGTAGCAGAAACCAGAGGCCTTGAACCAGACCAAAGGATCTTTGCAATGACCACTTGTAGTAAAGATACGTGGACAAAAGGGTTTACTGCATGAATCACTGGGTCTCAGTGCAGCTTCCATGATGAGATTTTTCTTTTCCTCTTTTTCTTTTTTTTCTCCCCCTTAAATTTTATTTTAGTTCATTTTGGGGGGAGGATGCAAGGGCAGAGGGTGGATATGAAGAGGTGGGGAGATGATTGGAATTGAGATAAATGAGTGAAAAATAAATAAAAGGTTAAATAAAGTAGAAAAAGATTGTGAGGTTTGGGCAGTCTGTGGGACTGCTGGCAGTGTGACCAGGATTTATCCCTAGTACTTGATCACATTCTTTTTGGATGGATACCTTGCTCAGCCTAGATATAGTGGGGAGGGCCTTGGTCTTGCCTCTAAGTGAAGTGTCAGACTTTGATGACTCCCCATGGGAAGCCTTACCCTTTTTGAGTAATGGATGGGGAGAGAGGTGGAGGAAAGGGTGGAGGGGGTGGAGGGGAGGGAGCTGGAATGGGGATAACTATGTAAAATGAGAAAAGATTATACTAAGAATTTTAATAAAATAAAATAATTAGAAAAAGAAAATCATAGTTCTTTCAGAGACAGTCCTGGTCTGCAAATACTTCCTTATACGCTTAAGCATGGTACTGCTGGGATTATATCCAGGTGTGATTCCGGTTTTCTTTTTCGTTCTAAAGCTGTCTTACTCACCAAGGGGAGAGAATGTGGTTATGGGTTCTGAGAATGTGATTTTCATCCCTGCACTTTCCCTGGAGCCTAAGATGAGTCGCGACACTTCAAACACCGTAAGATCATTTTCCAGCTCCCGCCTGGCCTTGAGGACAGCGGACGTAGTGTAGATGGTCTGGCTGGGTCCCCATGAGCACCTGCTCTTCATGTCAATCATCCGCGTGTTTCTGAAGCTCTTTGCTGTGTCTAATGGGGTGGTAAAGTCGCCTGAAATGCTGGC